TTAAAGTTGAATATCATGTTATAGCAGTAGCCTCAAAGGAACTTGCATGGCTTAGTAATTTTCTCAAAGAACTTAGGTTGGGATACCTTCAGGCCACAAAACTCATATGCGAAAATCAAGTGGCACTCCACATTTCATCCAATTCGGTTTTCCATGAACGGACCAAGCACATAGAAATAGACCCATTATGTAAGAGACAAGGTATTGACAGAAGAAATAACAACAAAATTTGTCAAATCTGGGGATTAATTGGTTGATATGTTTACCAAGTCTCTCAAGAGTTGTCGAGTGAATTATATTTGTAACAAGCTCGGATCATACAATATATGTGATCCAATGGCGTTAGTCAAGCTAGTTAGGATTTGAATACAAAGAAGAAATTCATAAATAAAATTCTTACAGTTCTATATGCACACTTGATAGAGCTCATATCATAATTGGAAAAGCTTTGCATTTATGTGTTGTTGAAAGTGTGCGTGAATTTTGTCCCATTAATACTATGAGCTCTCACATCCAATACCATGAGTAAACATTTCACAAGAAATGATGGATTGCAACCACACAAGGAGGATTTGGTCTTGTTGATTCATACCTCAAACACGGGAGAAATGATATTGTTTGCTTTTTCAAGAGTGAGACACTTCACAATAACATAAAAATTGAGTAGAAAATAATGCAATTTGTTAACTTTGATCACAAACTCCACACAACAACCATAGTAGGAAATTTACTCAATCAAGTTTTTCAGAGATTGCAGAAAATGACTATTTACTTGTTGAAGAAGATGAACCAATGCACAAGATTAGTGATGGAGGATCAACGCACAAGATTAATTATGGATGATAATGGCATGAGGAATAAAAGGCACATATACTAATACCATATTAAAATTTTAGTTTTACAAATTTTATAATTGTTAAGAGAAATCTCAATTAAGTATATCATATAATATGTTTTAAATTTTGATGAATGATTTATAGAGTGTAGCCTATTTATAGACTCACAGTACTAACTAGAAAATAATTAGTTCTTGAAATCGAGGAAATAGTTCATGAAAGATAATATTAGATTTCAAAACATGCAATATGGAAAATGATACTATCTCTGGTCTTATTTATAAGAGAAAATTCAATTTTTAGGTTCATTGAATAACTAACGTATGTGAACTTTATAAAGGACCAGATACATTAATTATTTAACGAATCTAAAGAGTTGATTTTTTCTTATAAATATGACCAGAGGGTGTAATTGATTGAAACAATCAGCTATGATATTATCACACGTAAAGATAATATAATATTTCTAAGCCACTAAAGCTCATACATACAATATAAGTTCATCAACAAAAACCAACATAATTGCACAAAACTCTAGAGTCAGGTCACAAGAGGTGTATCACAAGTCGAAATGTAGTTTTCAATAAAGTTGAGATGACGTTCAAGAAAACTAATGACGCTGATCAAAGTACCAAGATCTATGAAGAAGATATAGAACATTAAGAGATTCCTATTGAGGTGGCGCATATTGATGTTGAATTGAATAACACAGATGAAATCGAAGAAGAAGCAGAAGCTGCATTGAAGATGAGGAGTCTGATAATGACTACCTGCTGGAAAGATACATGTCGAGAAGAGTCATCAAGCCACCCCAGAGACTTGGTTATGCAAATCTCATAACATTTTCCTTAATCTCTGCAAGTGAGGTTCTTGATGAAGAACCTAGAGATTACAAGGAAGTTGCGAGGAGTCAAAATAAGACTGGACGACTAAAAGCCACAGATGAGGAAATGAAATCTCTTCATGATAGTAACACTTGAGAGCTGATTGAGAAACCTGCAGGGGTTAGGTTAGTCAGTTGTAAGTGGACCTTCAAGGTTAAGGAAGGAATCAAAGAAGTGATGTCGAAGCGTTTTAACGCAAGGTTGGTTGCTAGGGGGTTCATCCAGAAAGAAGGTGTCGACTTCAATGATGTGTTCTCACCTGTTGTAAAGCATATTTCTATTAGAATGTTGTTAGCTATGGTGACGAAGTTTGACCTAGAACTTGAACAAATGGATGTGAAGACTGCCTTCTTGTATGGTGATCTAGATGAAACAATCCTGATGAGGCAACCTGAAGGATATGCAGAAAAGGGAAAGGAAGATTATGTGTGCAAGCTGAATAGGTATTTGTATGACCTGAAACAATCTCCTTGACAATGGAGTGGAAATTCGACAAGTTCATGACATACATTAGTTTCACTAGGAGCCAGTTCAGCCATTGTGTTTACTTCAGATTTTGAGCTGGAAATTCACTTGTTATTTTGTTACTTTATGTGGATGACATCCTCATAGCAAGCAACAATGTCGAAAATGTTATGAAGGTAAAGACCGAACTCGATAAGGAGTTCGATATGAAGGATTTGGGAGCTACTTCCAGAATTCTTGGGATTGACATTAGGAGAGATAGAAAGCAGTCAACATTATTCTTATCTCAAGAGACATGCCTAAAAAAGATTCTCGACAAGTTTGGTATGTAAAATTCAAAGTCTATTCTAACACCGACTAATCCTCAATACAAGTTAAGTATGACTCAAAGTCCTAGTATGATGTCAAAAGAGCCTATATGAATAGCATTCTATATGCTAGTATAGTAGGTTCTTTGATGTATGATATGGTCTGTACGAGGAAGACATAGTGTACAAAATGAGCCTTGTAAGCAGGCATATGGTCAATCATGGGAAGACACACTGATAAGCATTAAAGTGGATTCTAAAGTACATCAATGAGGTCTCTGAGCATAGTGCTAATTTATGGTGGAGCCTGTGGTGATGATAGCAAAGTTGAAATGGAATGATTTGTCGACTCTGATTATGCAGGTTGTATGGATTTTAGAAAATATATTTTGGGATAATGTGTTCACTATTTTTGGCACGACAATCAATCAAAAAACAACTCTTCATAAGATTGTTACCTTATTAACCACTGGAGGGTGTCTATTGTCGTCACTGAAGTTGTGAAAGAAGCATTGTGGCTTGAAGGTTTTCCTAAGGAGTTCAAACTTCAAGGTCGAGTTATCACTGTTAAATGTGATAGTCAAAGGGTAATACACCTGTCAAATAATTCAACCTATCATGAGCGAACCAAGCACATCGATGTGAGGTTGCACTTCGTCAGAGAGATAATCAAGCGTAGAGCATTCCAAGTGCTAAAGGTTTCAACGAATGACAATGATGCTGATATGATTACCAAGGCATTGCCAAGTAGCAAGTTTTTCCACTGTATGTAGTTGATAAAGCTGCATGATAAAAGCTAGTTTGTTCCCTTGTTAGTGTAGAGTTTGTTTCAAGATAGAGATTTGTGGTATTTGGGTCAAACTCTAGTGTCGATAAGGGTAGCTTCATGGTTCGACATGAGTTATGCAAGTTATAGTCGAAGTCTATTTCAGCATGTTGTTGAAATATGTTTTGTATAAAGCATGTTGAATTGGGTGTTGCTTGTAAGCCTAATTGTTAAATTAGTTTGTAGCCTAAGTTTGCTTAGTAGTCTATAAATAAACTAGATCTCTTAGGTTGTTGAGAGAGGTTAATTGTTGGTATTAATTTGTAATCTTTAACTCTATTGAAAAAGTAAATAGTAAAATAGTTTTAACAAATTCTTCTTCTTCTTTTTTCTCTCTCTTTCGTAAAATTTAATAAATTTTTTTGTATTTGTTCAAAAAACTCAATCTTTTTCTTATATTTTACTTTATTCTTAATAACATCGATTCACAACAAAGGTGAAATTTAATAAATACACAATTATCCTTTGCAGACTGGCACACACTTAATAGATTCATAATGATAATAGATATATGTAGTAAATTGTGTAAGTGTAGCTTGAATGATGAAGTGACATTTGAAGATCCAATGGAAGAGACTGACGAAACTTGGTCATTGCCAATGAAATTTTGATTTAGTCCTTCAAATGAAGAGAGTGTTGATGAATGTTCATATCATTGAAGGTGGCATGATGTGAAGCTCTTGAGTCAAGGTACCGATTAGTGGAGGTCCTGACTTCAAAGTTGAGATCGAGAGTATTGGGGTCTTAACGAAGGTGTCATAGGATGTGTGCAATAGGAGAAGCCATGCCATATATAGATAGAGAGGGATGCATAACATGGTGCTAAGGTTCAAATAGACTCCATGCTGAGTAAGGCCAAAGTAAAGGTGCTAAGTAGGCACATACATGGAGTTAGAGCTCGTGATTGGGAGGGGTGAAATTAGGGTAAACCCAAGAGTCATCATGAGGAATGGAGGGAGCATAGTCTATCTTGAACTTGTGATAACAAATTGAAGCCATATGTGGCAATGTTTCCAACACACTACTACATTGAACAGTTACCACCACATTGAACAGTTACCACCACGACCACCATGAGTGGGATATGAAACGAATTATGTGTTATCAAAAGGTGGATGAGTTGATTCAGACATGTGAATATGCAGAGTAACTGAAGTAGGTGTAGTGTTTGATGCAATCCATCATTTCTTCAAGAGTGAGACACTTCACAAGAATATAAAAATTGAGTAGAAAATAACTGCAATTTATGAGCTTTGATTACAAACTCCACTTGTTGACACCATAGCAAAAAATGAATTTTTTCCACTCATTAAATTTTACTAGCAACTAGTAACTAATAGTTAAAATTTCATGCAAGATCACAGAAATGACAGAAAACATGGTCAAGACATTAGATTGAAAGAGTCAACATTATGATATTAACACACATAAAGATAATAGAATAACTCTGAGCTACTAAAGCTCATACATACAATATAAATCCATTAACAGAAACCAACATAATTGCACAAAAGGCCAATGAATCAGCTTAGTTCATTCCACTAAGCCACTCCAACAATGTCAAAGTTTCACTTGCACAAGAAACAACTCCACTGATCTAAACATAAAGCAACAACAATAACATCTACTTTACACTGGTAGGTTTGAATGAAAAACAATTTTTTACTGTCATAGTGGTAAATTATTTACTACTCGGAGAAGGGCCGCCAAAGAGATAATCTAAGGAAGATCCACCACCCGGGGCAGCGTGAACTTTTGTCGAAGGTCGATCCTGCACCCAAAAGAAAACCATTGTATTACTAGTGGTTAAAAAGAATCAAGAAAACACGAAGTTAATTGACAAGGGCATACAGTAAGGAAGTTGCCGCAGTTTTGTCCATCGGCGCGATGGTAATTGTTCTTGAGACACCCAGGAATTCCAGCTGGAGTTTCCTTGTCAATCGGTGGTGAAGCAACCCTAACCGGTGAAGCAACACCAGCTAGTGAAGCAATAGTAGCTGGTGGAGCAACGGTAGCATTTTGCAAACGCCCGCCACTTGAAGGTTCAACTTGAGTATTTGCACGCTGAGCATTGTTGGTCGGCTCTCCGGTACCGAAGAGATAACCCAAGGAACTCTGACCACCGCCGCTACTCACACCACGACCCATTTTCAAAGCTCGTGTGGCAAAACCTACATAGCAATATCACATTTTTTTCCTTCAAACTGCAAGACTCTTCAACTAAGAAATATTTGACAAAAAACAAACATATCCGACACTTCACATTGAAGGTTTGCCTGATGTCCGACACTGACACAGACGCGTAGTTACATTCAATTGCTTCTACTTTTTCAAATTATTATCGTCGTCAATGTGTTGAATGAAACCAAGAAAGTAACATTAGATCAATAATTGTTCCGATCACGAATCGAATTCAAAATCTCCAGATCCACAACTCTGGACAATTAAGCATGAAAAACACATACAAATACATCATGCAACAACATTAATCCTAACATCCAATTAAAAAACCAAACCCCACCATTTCAAAACATCATCATCCAAACTAAATAAATAAATTAACAAATCAAATCTGAAAAAAGAAAGAAACCAAACCCCACAATTAAAATAATAGACAAAAACTAATCCAAACAGACATTGAAGTAAATCAAACCAAAAAAAACAATATCATCGTAAAGTATAAAACAACCAATGAAACATAAATAATGAAAACACAGAAGTGTAGATCTAAATGGAAAGCAATAAAGAAATGAGATCTAAAGTTTGTGTACCTTGATGAGAAACGAAGTCGGTGACTTGAGAAGTGAAGTGAAATACACTATGCAACAGCAATGTTAAGGATATATAGATATATATTTATTAAGGAGCCAATTTTTTTTTGAAATATATTAGACAGTCACGTTTTTTAAGATCAAAGTTACAGTGACACAAACTATTTTTTTCTTTTAAGGCTACAATGAAAGTTAGGTCAATTGTGTATTTGTGTGTACATTTATGCTTCTATTTTCATAATTCACAATGCCATTTTGAACTATTCAAATTTAAAGCTTTGGATTCCAACTAAAGATATGTGTGAAGGATAACGAAGAGATTTTAGATAAAATACTAAGGATATAAATAGAAGGTAAAAGCTAGAAGTTCAAAAACAGTTATTAAATAAAAAAATTAAAAAGAAAGAGCTAAAAGTTAATTTTATTGTCTTATAAAAAATATTTTTGAATGTGTTTGGATTCTCTTTTATAAAAATTGTTCGTATTAAATCGAATTTTGAATTGATTTTACGAAATTGATTCAAACTCAACTGAAACACATTCATGTTGTAAGTACTCTTGATTGGCTGTATTTTGTGGCAAAACATTAGAGTTTGCATGTATGTCATACTGAATGTTAAGACATACATAATGATGTGTGTGCAGGGTAAGTTAACTATAAGTTAAGCTGAATGTCATGACACTGACCGTATGACATCCAGCGAGCAGGTTAGTTTTTCTGATATCTAGAAATCAGGAAACAAATCAGGAGCTCAAGCTGAAAGACAGGAGACATTTGAGAAGCCCTAAAGCGAAACAAATGCTCCTGAATTAAATGGCAAGTGTGCAGATGATTGAAGAGTAGGGTTTGTTATGATTAAACCTAACTGTGTGCACCAAGACCCAAAGGACTGACTGCTGCTATAAATATCAGAAGGAGCAATCCTAGAAGAGCAGCTCTTGACAGAAGATTAGAGAGTGCAAATTAAGAGTCCTTGTGAGTGAAGAAGATTGTTTTTCACGTGAGTATTGTGAGTGAAGAAAGTGTGTTCTTCACGTGTGAATTGAGTCTTAGGAATACTTGTTTACCAAGCAACTGTCTGCTGCATTGGTTAGGTAGATTCTGAGCTGTGTCTCACTCAAAGCTTTTAGCAAGAGTGTGTGTGTTCCTTGATCAAAGCTTTGAAGCAAGATCAAGGTGTGTATGAAGTGTTTCTTCATCTTTATTTTGTAACTGTAATTGGATATCACTGTGGTGTGATTAAGGGGGAGTGAGTGGGAATACTGAGGTCTATAGTGTGTCTAGGTTGAAGTGTCATTGGGTAAGTTTTAAGTGAGGAGTGCAAACTGAGTTGTTTGACTCTGAATTAATTCTACTGATAGTGAATTTCCTCCCTGACTTGGTAGCCCCCAGATGTAGGTGTTGTTGACACTGAACTGGGTGAATAATTGTTGTGTTATTTACTGCTTCTACTTACAGTTTAATTAGTTAGTACAGTAGTCAATGTCACAGTGGATGTTATAACTTTGGTAATAACATCCATCGTGTGCTTGCCAGAATTTCAATTGGCATCAGAGCAGGCACCCTGCCTGTTTATTCTGGGTGAGATCTAGGGAAATAAATTCTGATACTATGGATAAAGATATAGGATTCACTAATAGACCTCCAATTCTGGATGGTTCTAATTATGATTATTGGAAACCTAGGATGATTGCATTCCTAAATTCCTTAGACAGTAAGGCTTGGAGAGCTGCAAACTCTGGCTGGGAACATCCTGTGAAGACTGACAAGGATGGAGTAGATATGTTAATTCCTGAAGAGGAATGGAACAAAGAGCAAGAGGCCTTAGCTCTTGGGAACTCTAAAGCATTAAATGCACTCTTCAATGGTATAGACAAAAACATCTTCAGACTGGTACACCACTGTGAACTAGCCAAGGATGTTTGGGACACTCTCAAAACTACTCATGAGGGAACTTCCAAGGTCAAAATGTCAAGACTTCAAATGCTGACAACCAAATTTAAAGGTCTGAGAATGAAGGAAGATGAGACCATTCATGAGTTTTACATGAATGTTCTTGAACTTGCAAACACCTCAGGAGCCTTGGGAGAAAAGATGGCTGAAGAGAAGCTTGTAAGGAAGATTCTCAGGTCCTTACCTAAAAGGTTTGCCATGAAAGTAACTACCATTGAAGAAGTCTAAGACATATGCAACATGAAAGTGGATGAACTCATAGGTTCTCTCCAAACATTTGAGATGGGCATGTGTGATCAAACTGTAGAGAAAAGAGCAAAAGCATAGCTCTTGTCTCAAACACTGTTGAGGATTCAGAAGAAGAGGGTGGTGAAAAAGAGGAGAATTTGTCAGAACCAATAGCCTTGCTTGGAAGACAACTCAATAAACTGATCAAAATGATAGATCATAAATCAAAGCCCTATGCCAAGAACACCTCTTATGACAACAGCAGAAAGAATAACTCTGAGGAAAATTCTAACCAAGGCAAAGGAGCTCAATGCCATGAGTGTGAGGGATATGGACACATCAGAAAGGAATGTCCTACATACCTCAAAAAGAAGGGAAAAGGCCTAATTGTCACCTGGTCTGATGAATACGCTGAAAGTGGATCAAAAAAGGAGTATGCCAGGCATGTCACTGTTCTAAACAGTGTAAGTTCATTTGATGATGACTCAAGTGAGGATGAACTGACTTTTGATGAGCTTGCAGCTTCATACAAACAGTTTTGTTTCAGAAGTGCAGAGGTATGCCAACAAGGAGAAAATCAGAAAGGGATCATTAAGAAGCTGGAGGCTGAGAAGAAGGAACATCTTGCAACAATCAAGATTCTAAACCATGAGACTGACACTCTTGAAAAAATTCTACAGAGTGGTCAGATAGCAGGAGACATGTCTGGACTAGGGTTTATTGGTGAACAAAAACCCATCTTGGGGTTCAATAGACCAGAGTCTGAAAATCAGAGGTCAAACCAGATGTCACGACCAATGTCACAATATCAGAGGAACAAGAACATGAATCAGACAAGAAGAAAGTTCCAAAGGTGGAGGTGTCATTACTGTGGAAAATTTGGTCACCTAAAACCTTTTTGCTTCAAACTGCATGGATATCCTAGTCACACTCATCAAAGGGCTCCTGCCAAGAAGCAACAATGGGTGGCAAAGGAGGTTAGTCTGATAGCTCACACCTCTCTAAGAGTGTCAGCTAAAGAAGATCGGTACTTTGATAGTGGTTGTTCTAAACACATGACTGGCATAAAGAATCTGTTGGTGGACATTAAACCTCATTCCACTAGTTATGTGGCTTTTGGTGATGGAGCAAAAGGAGAGATCGAATGGGTTGGGAAACTGAACTGCCCTGGAGTACCTAACCTGGACAATGTATTGCTAGTGAAAGGACTAACTGCCAATAATAATTGTCAATAATAATTGTCAATGTAATCAATTAGATTACTGGAAATCAATAGTGGATATGAATGGGTTAAATGTTTTAACCTCAGAACAGGATGGAGCTATAAAGGCTATAGAGTCTATTTCTGATAAAAATCTTAAAAGAAAAATGCTTGAGGTTCTAATCCAAGAAAACTCTAAAAGAGAATCTCCTATTATTATAGAAGCACCTTACCAATTAAGTGAGGTTTTGTCTAGATTTAGACAGTCTAACATTCGTGAAACTCCTGTTTCTATTATGGATTTAAATAGAGAAATAAATCTCTTAAAAAGTGAGATAGCTCAAATTAAAAAAGAAAACTATGGTTCATCTCAAAGGCTCACTTTTTTAGAGTCCAGTAATTCAAGGGTTGAAGAAATAGCTTCAACTAGTAATCCTTCACCTAGTGATGATTTCCTTTCCCTCATTGATAGAGTGACCTCCCAAAAATGGTTTGTTAGAATAACTTTAGTGATTAATAGAAATTTCATATTAGAAAATGAAGTTGCCCTTATTGATAGTGGCGCTGATTTAAACTGCCTTCAAGAGGGAATTATTACCACTAAGTATTTTGATAAAACTACTCAATCTCTTACACAAGCTGGAGGAGATAAACTCACGGTTAATTATAAACTGTCTAATGCTTATGTTTGTAACAAAGATATTTGTTTACCCACTCACTTTATTCTTGTGAAAAACTTAACTCATAGAATTATATTAGGAACTCCCTTTCTGCATAAAATTATGTCTCTAATTAATGTTGATCAAAAGGGAATTACCTCCATTATTAATAATAAAAGAATTACTTTTGAATTTATTACTGGTCCTCATACTAGGATGATTAATGAAGTTAAAGATATTCTTCTTAAAAAAGAAAAACAAATTTGTTTTCTTAAAGAAATGAGTTTATTAAACATCACTTCTCAACTTAAAAATCCTGAAATTCAAAATCAAAT